AGACGACGACTAGTTCGAGGAAAATCTCTCGGTGCCCTAATTGGATTCATGTGCTAAGTAGCTACATTAACAGGCGTAATGCGATCAGTTTCAACCGAATTAGGACTTAATGAAGTCAAACATTATGAAATCTAATGGCTCCAAATGAAGATGTGTTTGCTGCTCCCGTTCTGAAAGATGGCAGGAAGAAAACGGCAAACTGCTTCCTTGGATTAAATATATTTGTTTCGAAATTTCTATTTTTAACTCGAAAAAACTCTGAGTTACACTGAAGCATCGATTTCTGCTCTAAGTCCACGGTAAATTACTTGAGAAATTTTAGCTCAAAATTAGGAACCGTGATCTTCTAATTTCCGAGCTGTTTTGTGCAACATAATAAAAAAGTATGCCCAGTAATATTAAAGGGGTGTTGCAATGATAGACTTTACTCCATTTCTCTAGAAGACGACAGTCATACATTTGAACGAGTTTACAATAGATGTGTAAGCTTAATTTTAACTTCATTGAAAAAGAATTATTCCTTTTTACTCAACATTTTGACTGAGAAAATGAACGCACAATATAAATTTGTGCGTGGCATGGATTGGAAAGTCGAGTGGTCTCTTAAGTATGAACAAAAAACGATTGTACGAAGTATAAAGGATGTACTACTTAAATATGATTAGTACCACGTTATAAGAATGCAAGTGAGAAAATTGTGGTCAGTGTTTCAATATCTATTTACATATTTATATCAAATGACAGGCTTTATGGCTGTCATCATTAACCCTTCAGTTGACTTCGGGCTTCATAGTGGGAGGAGCATCGAAGTGGAAAATTCGAGGAGGAGAGAAGAGTGTTTTACAGATATAAAAGAGACAGACAGACAGACACAAAGGCAAGGAAAAGATAGGATGAGTACTGGAGAAGTGGTAGAATATGACATACAGTAGGGTTATGGTAGTTTAAAGCCAGAAGTAAACTGCTGGTTTGTAGACTTTTTGCTACGAGGAGGCAAGTCTTTCGCACACCCCGTGTTTCATTATCAAAGACATAAAAACGTACTTACTTCCTTCAAACGAATAATTGCCTGTGTCGTTATTAATTCAGATTACCATAAAAGTCGTGGGCAACTTTTATGCTCTACAAGCTGATATCCCAGCTAGCCAGAACTAAGCACCCCCCTATCCCTTTATTGCGAAAACTACTTAGACTTCAACTAATTCTTATAAGACTAATTTACAAGGAAGGAACATTAAATTGAAAAAAGTCGAGAGGGGGGAACAGAAGAGTGTTTCAAAGATGTAAGAGGCAAACACAAAGGTAGAAAAAAGGTGAGGTGAGTACTGTGGAAGTAGTCGAATATGGCATAGAGTGAGATGATGGTAGTTTGAAGTGAGAAGTCAATTGCCAGTTAATAGACTTTTTTGCCGTATGAGTATACGTTGCCCAGGGTGCCCCACGTGGAGGTAAGTCTATCGCACACCCCATTTACAAAAATATATAACCTCTACTGATTTCTGCCCTGAAAAGGAAACGTTGAATGGGCCCATTTTTATTCTGCCTTTCGTAGTAAGATAGATTTCATCTTAGAGAATGACCAAAGAACGTAGTCTTTCTTCTTACAAAGTATAAAATGGTTTGATTATGATGCATTTTCTTGCTTAAACAAAAATATTTTAATGACCATTTTTTTCATTGGCACTTTAACTTGATGTTGTGAATGTAAAGTCTAGGAATTTTCCTGCGCCCTGGAACCCACACTAGACTATTGAATCAGTTAACGTATTCCATTACCATTAAATGGTTAACAGCAATTAATTTTTTTACACTATGCCATGGATGACAATAATAGGACTTGTAGTCATCCGCCCAATATAAAATTTAATTTTAATAGTGCATTAGTTTATTGCAAGCTAATTGAATTCAAGGAAAGGAAGTTAGTTCCCTCCTTGGAATAAGGGTATTGCTATGGTAATATGTCAAGCAATCAGTCCAAATTATGAAAAGTTGACAAAAATGATGGCACTTCATCAAACTACCCCCTTAGAGAGATTTGATTGGGTACTCGTAGTGGAATAGTAGGGACAGAGGGAATTGGCAGTTGGAGGAATTAGAAATGGGTGTTGTAATGAAGAGGGTTTATCAAAGGACGATAAAGTTGTTGCCTATTTATATATTTTTGTTCATCAATGAGCAATTAGGATAATAAAACTATAAATTGGTAATTTAGGCCCACAATGGAACGAACGTGGTATAAAAATTAATTATGCCAAATTCAGGCGATTAACTCATTCGCGAGCGAATCACGACAATCTAATGTACACGAAGGTAATATTATGGAAAGGGGTTGCTATTTTTATTTTATAAATTCATGAAAATATGTTCTAAATATCTATCAAGTTTGCACATTTTGTCACCTCTAACACAGCTTAATCCTGATATTTGCATTAATTTAAAAAACGATTCATGTAATGTGTGAAAAGAGAAATAGTAAAATTAGAGTGCCTCAATGCAGAGATGAACTAATATTCAATTTTGATTAATGCAATAATTAGCTTCTATTTTAGATAATTCGATTTCTCAGAAAACCATTCGCACTATGTCGTTTGCAGAGATGAGAACTTATCTGGTCTACAATCTCCTTGCCATTCATGGAATTAAGATGTCGTTACTGAAGGCTGAAGTTCTTATTATTTATTTATTTCTATCAAATGGTAATCTTTATGATGGTAATCATTTACCCTTTAGTTGACTTCTGGCTTCGCAGCGGGGAGGCACATCAAAGCCACAAAAGTGGAGGACGTGGGGGGTGGGGGGGGGGGAATAGAAGAATGATTCACTGATGTAAGAGTCAGACAGAAACAAACGTAGAGAATGAGGTAAGGTGAGGTGAGTACTGTCGAAGTGGTGGGATATGACTTGGAGCGAAGTCATGGTAGTTTGAAGTCAGAAGTCAACTGCCGGTTTATAGACTTTTATGCTATATGAGTTTACGTTGTCATTGGTGCACCACATTTTGCCGTATGAGTATGCGTTGCCCAGGGTGCACCACGTTTTTGCCGTATGAATATACGTTGCCCAGGGTGCACCACGTGGGCAGTTTGAAGTTGGGTGATGGTAGTTTGAAGTCAGAAGTCAACTGCCGGTTTATAGACTTTTATGCTATATGAGTTTACGTTGTCATTGGTGCACCATGCGGCGATAAGTCTATCAAGCACCCAAATTCAGATCATAAAACGTTCAATCGATTTCGCTCAATTCCTTTCTTCAAGCCTCAAATTAGAATGGGTGGAGTAGTTTTTTCCAAGTTATTCATCGAAGCATTTCTTATTGCAGCGTTTGTAGTGAAATCTTTCCGCATGACGGAGCCCATCTTTTCAATTCTCAGCTATCTCATTTACAACTGGAGCATTTTCAAACGTCTCAACCGCCGAGAGAGATAGAAAATAATTGGGCGTAATTCTTCTTGTAACTTGTTTTTCTAATACTTTCAAATGATTAAGAAGAGAGGAAACAGACCCTTATCTATGCAATCATAGAAAAACCCGTGCCATATCTACTGATGTGTGAAGGCAAATGGGCCTTAATATTGGGGGGAGAGGAGAAGAAAAGGTACTAGCAGAGAAATGGCAGCCCAGATGTGTCAGTGTCTTCGTGTGTCTATGTGTGTGAAAAACCCAAAGATAATTTTTAAGTCTGTCAAATAAGCGAGAACGTGAGTGAGGATAAGTGTTCGCTTATAGAGAATCGTTAAACTCGTTTAGACAGGACACGTAGTGATTTGAGTCATAAGGACATGAAATAAAAAGGGAAACACTCTTTCACAAAGATAATGACAAAAAGAACAATGCTGCCATAGGCATAGAGTCACTAAGCCTAATCTATCCTGCTGAAATCATCCGCTTTTATCAGCAGGAAGCCAAGGGTTTGTGTGACTCCACCACTAATGAAGTTCGTGGGTGATAATGACTTAAGGTCATTAATTGATCGCAGACTTAATTACCTGCTGCAGTTTATCACAAGCTTCGCCTCATATTATAACATCTATTTGGGGTGTGGGATAGACTTACCTCCACGTGGTGCACCCTGGGCAACGTATAATCATACGGCAAAAAAGTCTATTAATCGGCAGTTAACTTCTCACTTCAAACTACCATCATCCCCACTGTATGTCATATTCGACCCCTATCACAGTACTCATCTTACCCTTTCTGAGCCTTTGTGTCTGTCTGTTTCTTTTGCATCTGTGAATCACTCTTATATTCCCCCTCCCGAATTCTTCTCATTTGATGTTCCTTCTCCTCTCTGTGAAGCCCGAAGTCAACTAAAGGGCTTATGTAACTATCAAGACGCCTGCCATTTGTTATAAATAAATAAATAACATCTTTTTCATAGCTTTTTCCATCAGGCCAACAAGACGACTCCATTTTCTCATCACTGCTTCATTTCACTCCATATGCACTTAAGAACTGCTTCTCATAGACGAATGACTGCACGTACGGTTTGAGTGTCATCGGTGGATGTTTCACCGATAGCAATCATTCAAGCTGACATATACTTGCCAAGAATCAATAGTTTCCGTGTGCGTCATTCAATCCCTTAGAATGTCAAAACCAATTAATTGAGGTTTAGAGAAAGACATACAAAATGCAAAATTTGGCGCAGCAGCAGGTTAGGTCTACTTGAAAGATTTCACTATACGGCGTCAACCATCGAGCTTGGTGTCTAATACCAACAATTCTTATTTATGAGCTTTTATAATCGAGTTTTAGGAGCCCACGAGCGCCAAGTTAAATACTTCCTGCCTGGTGACGAATGCATGTTAAAACTTTTCTTTGAATGCATCTTCTCCATTTATTAAGAACGAGCACGTCGTTTTTCAATCTTTATTTTCCAAAAAATGAGTTATTAATACAATCTTGGGACGTTTCTGTCACTAATCACATCCAGTCAAAGTATATTGTGCGAGGGAACAGAGAACGAAAGAGAGAGAAGTAGCGAAATAGAAGTGACAGCATTTAAAAGACAATGAGAGGGGGTGTGCAGGATGCAGGGGTGGTGGTAGTGTTAGTGGCCTGGTTACCGTGTGTCGAAACCAACCAATCAGCAACGCGTTGTTGACTCATTCTCTTGTGCATTACTCGACGCACCTTCTTGCGTTTCTCACGATTGGAATTTCGTGTTGAAGTTGCTGAAGGAACTGGATTGTCAATTTTGAGAAATGATTGCGGGAAGGGTGTCAGTGGAGGCACTGAAATGGATTCACGTGGATGATGAAGTCCACTGGAACGATGCCGAGAACGCTTCGGGGCTCGGAAGGCCCTATCATGAGGTGTTTTGGAAGCTGGATTGTGTTTGCCGGGTGAAGTTCTGTGACGCCGTCTGTTCTCTGTTAGTCTACTACAGGAGAGAATTAGAAGTTAATATCACTTGCCCAGCATTACTCATAACAATTAAGTAGAGAACTTGTGGAACATGTAGAAAATTAACCATAGACAGCAACAGCATAATTTATAAAGCACATTATCATATTTTTACTAAAGTTCAATTTTAAATATTTTAACTACAGGCGATGTTAATAAAATTCACTTTGAATTTAGTTTAGTTGGTCTATCCCGTAGAGAGGCAATTATCTGAAAAGTTGGCCCTTGACATACGTGACAACCTATGTCGACTAAGTACGAGAGAAGGGCATATTTATAAAAAAAATAAATACCCTGGAGAGTTTTAATTCAAATCCATTCACTCTTAAAGATGCCGAGAATGCCAAAACGGAAAGACCCTAGAGAAATTCTTCACTGTCCATGAACAAACTCATTTCTCCCTTTTCCACGCAATAGGGAGAAAAATGCTTTTCAATTTTAAATTTATCCACTTAAATCGGTATATTTTAACAGAAAACTCCGATTGAGTTCACTTTGGGCATATTTGATATGCACAACGCTACCTTGGCTGAACAAAGAAATCTCATACGCACTAGAACATTCTAGAACCAGTGCCCGTGCTACTGAACGCGTTAGCGAGCGGCCTCTCGACCAATCAATAATCAATCGCCAAGGCATGAACGGCGCAGCCAAAATTGTATATAACGACCAAAGTCCCTGTCAATTACAGCCCAAATAAATGAGTTCCATTTTATACTTATGTTTTACCTATATAATTGAGGCAGCTTAGCTGATTTTGAGAGCCCTATTACATATTTGTGTTTATTTTCAAGCAAGAATCAAATTTAATGCTTATTGATATTTAGGCTCTAGGAAATTCAGTTACACTATAAATCTTGAAATCATTATATAGCAAAAAAATATTTTTTTTCTGGAATTAAATAAACTTTCTGCTTGCGACACAGTCATGTCAGAGATATCGTCCACTCTCAAGAGCAACTGCGCATTATTTGACAGAGGCATATAACTCTTGCCCATATAAATATATATTCATTTTATTTACAACGGTTTCCTCCCCGCCTTCTGGAGATTTTTTTCCGCCAATTTGAAAGAGAATTTAAATTGTAAAAATTCTAATCCTTAAAAAATGCATTTATTTACCTGCTTCCTTTTTAGATATATTAATTTTGAAGTTCAAGTAGATATTTTAAACGCCAAAAATATTGCAAGAAATTTCTTATAATATCCTTCAATACCAGAAAACTACTGAAAAATTGGATAAAAATGGTCTTATTTCTAACTTTTATTAAACAACTGAAAATACTAATTATCCGGTGTTATCAACAAGCTCTCATCATCGTGGAAACGACACCATGCAGGAAGATAGATATCATTTCATGTAATTCGACGCTGAAAGCATTTGGATCAACCATATAAGATGTGTAATCGTAGTAATTTCATAAGAATTAGGAGATTTGACGAAAATGAAACAAATCTTACCTCTCACTATGTTTCAACAGCTGTATTGTTCGTGCGAATTTATAGAATTCTACGGATCGAGTCATGGAATAGCAGAACTCAGGCTTCTGATCTGATCCTGCACTTCCCACAACACTGATTAGACTCGAACCACCGGTCATGTTCCTCCCACAACCATGACAGTAAAATGACCTTATCTCCCCTGACAAACTTCCTTCAGGGCAGAAGAGTTGGCCGGGATTGTGCGGTGAGGTGGAATCAAACATACCGAAGGAGATGCAAGATAGACAGCCGGGTGGGGAATTGCATATATAACGACTTTCACAACGACGTTGTCTTCGATGATGCCGTCTAATGTTATTATTCTGGGGTATTGGCAACTCTGGAAGACGTTCAAAGCAAAGACGGGCAGGCGGATTCCGTTGAGTACTATTATTTTTTGGGTCGAATGCACTGTTCAGGGAGAGCGCATAGATTCCGTGAAGTCGGGATAAGATTGTGTCGAAAAGATGACTATCTAGTGCCAAAGACTCCTAGGGAGTAAGATAAAGGCGTTCATATTGGTCCTTCCATTTCTATGAGCTGGTATGCTTATTTATTATAGTCGCACTGAAAATTCTATTAAAAATGGAGAAAAATGGAATTTTCGAAAAATTTTAGAAACGAAAATAAATTTACCTGGACGAGAAATTTAAGTTGACGCTCAGTATGGTAATTTAGCTCTAACATGAATTTACTTTGGGTCAAATCTAACAATGATTTTTCAATCTCGATACGTCCGCAACTTTCAATGCAAAAGAATTCTCAGACAACGAGTTTTTAAACACTTCGATAAATCTGCTTTCATTTACATAGAATGGCGCAGCAATCTTAGATACAATATATCAGAATGTAAATATCTCGAGAATTGGACTCATAACCGCTCACACTAAGTTACAATTCTATTTGCACAATTACTCAGAAGTTCATAACGTGGAAAGCACAGCTCGACTAAAGTGTCAAGCAGTCAGAGGGCAGTAAATGTTTTGCTGAAATTAGAGAGAACCTAGAGAAAGCTAAAATTTGCATCGGACAAAGAGATACTTCAGAAATAGGTGGAAAGAGTTGAAGGCAGGCTGGAACGACAATCAAAGTTAAGACTGTAGGGTGGTGAATAACATGTAAGGTCATTTCTCCTGCTCCAATCATCTGGAGGGACAAAAAAACATTTGAAATGGAAAGATCGATCGTGATGAGTAAACAGTCGGTCGAAAACCGCTGAAACGCAGTGACAACCATTTACATCATTTCAGGAGAATTTAACCTACGTGGAATTAACTATCCATTAAGCAGACACTGCAAAATATGGACTCAACAACTTTAAAAGAGGGGAGTTCGTTGATACTTTCCCGTTGCTCCAGGTCGCTTTTTGATCATCTACCATTTAGCATTGGTTGGACATACTACTAACATGATTATTATTCACGGTTAAAAGATGCCTCAATGAAAATCGCAGGAAAATTAGTGCATACCTTCAGTGAATTAAACACAATAATAATTTAAGGAACACAGACACGCAGAATAAACGCAATGCAACCATAAATAAGTAATTCTTTATAGCTGTCACAATTAAATTAGAGTAGGCAAATAGAGCCCAGTCAAAGTGGAATAAATTTTCTCACTAACTGGCATGCTTATAAAGGCCGGTCATTACATGAAATGTCACTGTGACGAAGAAAGTAAGAGGGGGGGGGGGGGAGGGGGGCATTAACTGAACCATAAGCAGACTCCAGATATGCCCCCCCTCCCCTCCTTAACTTCGAGGATATTCTCTTACGTGTCCGAAGTATGTATATGCATGGAAAAGATACGTTAGTTTGCAACCATTTTTGAACCGTATACGTCATCAAAGTCCATTCGTACATAGTGCTAGTGGTGGTTGCAAGTTTAAAAGACCAAGAGTCACCAGTGAGACGTCCAATAACGGAATTACGCTCTCATAGTGCAAAGACGTTTGATGGGATGGTTCAGTGGAAAGCTCTGGGTAAACCAATAAAGGAGCTTCAAGAGGAAAAATTTCGTCCTTTGAGCTTTGTTAACTCCCTAATACTGAAACTCTTTACGACTCATATAAATCAATTATGATGTCTAGACTCTCTGGGGAGGGGGGGGGNATGTGTTAATGCGTGTGCAGAATAAAAGGAGATTTAAGAGGGTAGAGGTGTGTAGTTGGATGCTAAAAACACACCAAAAGGCGATAAATGGTTCATCTAAATCGGTTTTTCATCAGAGTTTACTCTGCCTTTGTGACAAATCATTACACAATGGCATTATGAAGATTTATAGGCACTATTAAGCCAAAAAACCTTTATGTAACAATTCATAATTCCAGGAAGGGTTTCAACGGCACACAGACAGATGGCACATGTTTCGAATGAGAACCAAACCGCGAATCGAGATTCGAGAAACTTGAAGAAATGGAATACCATGGCACGATTAAAAGTATCGTTGAACATGATGACTTAATTTTTCTTTTCTTGGGGTTATATGAGCACGTATTTTTGCTATAACGTCTCAAAAGGATTGCTTATAAGACAATGTAGGGTATAGAACAATTACAGTATCAAATTAATCTGTAAAATATCCCTGATTACTTGAGTTAGCGCTTTAGAAATTTCAAATGGGCTCAACAATTAAATTAAGTAGCGTCACGCTGCAAACAAATAGACTCCTTTGTCCATTTGATCGTTGCCATTGCAGTTTAACGGAAAATTACGTCTCATGAAACGGGTACTTATTCAGATGAACGGACTTTCGGAAAACCCCTGTAAGTGACAACTTGTCAACCAGAAGCAAATTCTTGAAACGTAAACTAAAGTTGGTCGGAACATCGACATGAAGAAATAATAGTTGATTTGAAAGATTTTGGCGGTCAGAGGAAGTAGGGTTCCACTAATTCCCCCTTTATTTCACTCTCCCATCTTGAGAAGCAAATTCACTTCCTCTCACTGGGAACCCTCACTTCCGGTGCGATTGGAGTTTCCTCCATAGAAAAAAGTTGAAAAGCCGTTTACCTTGTCATGGAAAAAAGAATATGCCCATATCCATTTAATTCGCCTAGTTCTTAAAAGAGGATTATAAAGGCGGATTGCATCATCTCTCTCTCTCACGACAACACAGATGTGAAGTCAATCAGAAAGCTAGGAATAAAACCTAAAATTTTAAAATAATAACCACTTTTAAACAAAATCAGACAGTGAATTTAATGGATTGAGGCGCCTTAGTTACCGCGTGTTAATAGTCTACTTCAGCTGGAACCTTTCAAACTCACCCAGTATAGAAACACCTTATTATTTCCAAGTTTATCATTAAAAGTAGAATGTAGATTAACGGATCGTGAAGTACGCAATCCGGACACCATCAAATTAAGCAAGCGCACGCACACTCGAACATTCTGGAGGGTGTGGACGTGTGCATTGGGGTTTCTGTGCTAATCAAGCATTAATGTTTATTCAAGTGATATAGTCACTTCCCAATCATGATTGTTGCGATCACAGAAATTCAATTGTCTGCTTTTTCTACGGCATTGAGGTAGCTTAACTACTTCTCGGGGCCTTTAAATACTAGGAACTTTACTACAGAGATTACTGAGGTTGCGTCAGAGCTCAACAGTGTGGCAATCCGCTGCAGAATAATCAATCCCCGTTACGTACCCATGCAAGGACCAAGGGGTGTGCGATAGACTTACCTCCACGTGGTGCACCCTGGGCAATATATACTCATATGGCAAAAAAGTCTATTAACTGGAAGTTGACTTCTCACTTCAAACTACCATCACCTCACTCTATGCCATATTCGACTACTTCCATAGTACTCACCTCACCTTTTTTCTACCTATGTGTTTGTCTCTTACATCTTTGAAACACTCTTCTGTTCCCCCCCTCCCCCCTCTCGACTTTATTAAATTTGATGTTCCTTCCCCTCTGTGAAGCCTGAAGTCAACTAAAGGGCTAATGGTAACCATCAAGACGCCTGCCATTTGATATAAATAAATGCAAGGACCAAATACACTATTATTGCAAGCTGTGCCTTTCATGCAATTAAGGACTATATCATAGGGAGTACAGTTCTTCCTTTGATCTACCCTTTCCTGCCGTGCCCATTTCAGGGATAGTAAAATGTGGATTGTAAACCTTTATGCTTTAAGTACTCTTAAGTAAAGCATTAAATTTTATTTTTATTCAATTCCCTATTTTAATTGCCAGATGTAGTATATGCTTAAGCGGATGTTATTGAATATGCGAATGCATAAAATGGCTATATGAAGGAGCCTTTGCAAGCGGACATAATAATAATTAGAAAATAAAATATCTTTCCATAAATTTCAAAAAAATATATAACCAACACGAGATTAGGGAAAAGAAAGAAAATCCCTTCTAAAAATGGTCACTTAAAATTAAAAAAAGGAAAAATAGCCGTTTACTGAAGAAAAACTGATGTTAAATTACTTAAATTGTAATTTCAGTTTCAATTGAAAAAAAACGAGTTTTAAATTGAAATAGTAGTAGGTTTTCTTTCCTTATTCATTAAATATCATTTTATATTCTACTTAATTACAACTCGTTTTACTTAGAAGGGAAAATTTAATTAATGAGAGAGCAAGCTGTATATAACTTGATGATTTGAGAATTCAAATGGCGCAAACAGGCTTAATTCCCAGGGGCTAACATTAAATTAAGTGGTGCGCTTTTCCCAATGAATTGTCTCATTCGAAAACAAGGGCCAAGGTGATGAATAGCGTCAACTTCGTTTTCGTTTTATCTCCAACAAAGACATCCATAATTTCCTTTAAATCGACATCGTAAACAGCCTTTCAACCAAAGTGCATTGTATTTAACTTAACCCACCAGTCAAAATAAATAGCAAGAATCGTTAAAAATTTAGTCAGCTAACTAGATCGGTAACCATGTGCGTACTTTATCCAAGGCGATAAAAAATGTTTCGAACAATGTAGGAAAGGCTTCATAGTAGGAAAAAAACAAGGATTGTCAACTTACTTCAGGATTTTCGGGTTTGTCAAATTCGTAGAGGGTGAAGTACCAATCGCTATACCGACGTCGATGCTTGAAATGACGAAGTTGAACTTTATACCTCTCTTTGCGTTCATCAAAGTCAGTTCCTTCAATTGGCATTAATGGTACGGTTATGGATGGTCTCTGATTCTGTTGGTGTTGGTGATTTTGCCGCTTCAGCAAACTTTGACGAAGTGGAATTGAAGAGGGCGGAGCGATGTGTGGTAGGGGATAGGCAAGATCGTTCACTTCAGTGTAACTGTGACGCCTTCTGGCTCGTTCCTCATTGTCTGTTTGAATTTCTTCCAGAGAGGGAAGATACATTGAGTGGCGGTTGAAGACATCTTTCTGAAAATTATCGAAAGATATCATTTGAAAATCCTACTAGCATCATATCGCTTTAATGTTTCCATGGCGTGGTAACCATTTACTATTAGCATTACAACTTAAGACTCAGTGATCTAAAGTGCTATTTTGACACATATAATTGACAAGTTCAGGTTAAGTAAAGAACCCATAGATATCCTTTTCTCAGCTAATTATATTGACCTAGAGGGGTGTGCGATAGACTTACCTCCACGTGGTGCACCCTGGTGGGTGTGCGATAGACTTACCTCCACGTGGTGCACCCTGGGAAACGTATACTCATACGGTAAAAAGTCTATTAACCGGAAGTTTGTGTGCGATAGACTTACCTCCACGTGGTGCACCCTGGGCAGCGTATTTTCTTACGGCAAAAAAGTCTATCACTCGGCTTTCGAGTATATTCATATGACAAAAGTCTATTAACTGGAAGTTGACTTCAAACTACCATGAACCGACTGCTTGTCATATTCGACCACTTCCACAGTACTAATCTTACTTTTTTCTCTACCTTTGTGTCTGTCTGTCTGTCTCTTTTACATCTGTGAATCGCTCTTCTGTTCCCCACCCCTCGACTTTCTGCTACTTTGATGAACCTTCCCACTGTGAAGCCTGAAGTCAGCTAAATCGAGGAACCTTCCCTCTGTGAAGCCCGAAGTCAGCTATATGGCATTCCCTCTGTGAGGCCCGAAGTCAGCTAAATGGCTAATGTCTTCCCTCTGTGAAGCCTGAAGTCAGCTAAATGGCAAATGATAGCTATCAAATTCGACTTTCTGCTACTTTGATGAACCTTCCCTCTGTGAATCACGAAGTCAGCTAAATGGCTAATGATAGCTATCAAAACGCCTACCATTTGAAATAAATAAATATATATATATATATTTTGAAATAAATAAATGTTATGGCATTGAGTGACTCAGCTAAATGGCTAATGATATCTATCAAAACGCCTGCCACCAACTAAATGGCTAATGATAGCTATCAAAACGCCTGCCATTAGAAATAAATAAATATTGACCTAGAGAAGAGACAAAATATATATTTAATGAGTATCATAGCATACCAGAGAAAGGTGTTGGAAGAAAATATTTTTGATTGCAAACCCTAACAATAAACATCAAGTTTTCAAACAAATACACCTCCGTGACTGCAAAATTTTACTATTTGACCTTGTGAATAGATCGAGTGGGTCAAGCCTAAAGATCCTTAACATAATGACAGCACCACCACATACTCAAAATTTATGTGCCAAGTAGCCCTAACGATGATTCTAATTAAATGACCCATGAATGCAACAATGCTAGACCACCCATTGTGCTAACAAAGGTATAGGAAAACTCCGGGACCTGTAAACATATTGCACGTCATCATCTTACCACCCACCCCCCGCCCCACCCCATTTCACATTCTAGAATTCGCACTTTTAGCAAAGTGGGACACCTTTTCCCTCCACCACTACTCAGACACATAACTCATGGGGTACCAGAGCCAATGCACAATAATAAATTCCCATGCGGTTTCTCACGATTGGGCATTATTAATGGGAGAAAAGATCTAACTGGTCCCTTGAACTATCGAAATGTTTCAGAATAGGACCCCAAATAGAGCAGGCTCCCGACTAGGAAAGGGTGTTTTCGAAAGTTGAAACATTAATCTTTTTTATGCCCAGGGGGTAAAGATTTAGCGCAGTCAAAATAGGCATTGGTTTTTTATCCTGATCTCTCAACACTTAAACAAAATGCGAACAATTAAACCAAAGAGAAGACCCACCACCCCTCCCCCTCACCCGATTTCTAAATTGACATTTATAAAATTTTATCTACTTCTGACATTCACTAAAATGAATAAGTAGGTAGCTAATCCGCTGATAATGTAAAAATTTTAACATTTTAATAAATGCGCGTTAAGGTTTGTTTTCTGAACATGTATTCGGCAAAACATGAAAATGCCGATCGATTCTAAAATACCAGACTAACCCAGATTGCAATCAACAGCGCAATAGAACAATAAGGCTTCTTGGGGTTTCATTAAAATAATGCGTAGGTAATTCAATTAATCTTATTCGAGTTTAATACCATCATGAGCAAATAGAAGCCTAAAAATTCCATTTTAGCATTATTTAATGAAGACACCTTCTGCTGTGATCATCAGAACTATGCAACTGGAGATTATGGATGAGTGTTTGCGCCAGAAATCCACGTACTGGTTCATAAAATTTGAATTCTGCTAATTTACAGAACCGATTGTTGATACATTTCGCAAAGAAAGAAGTACTTACAAATATATGATTTACTGTTGGGGTGTGCGATAGACTTATCTCCACGTGGTGCACCCTGGGCAATATATACTCATACGGCAAAAAGTCTATTAACTGGCAGTTGACTTCTGACTTCGAACTACCATCACCCCAGTGTATGTCATATTCGAAAACTTTCACAGTACTCACCTCATCTTTTTTCTACCTTTGTCTTTGAAACACTTCTGTCCCCCCCATCTCTCGACTTTTCTTTTACCTTGATGTTCCTTCCTCTCTCTGAGGTCTGTAGTCAACTAAAGAGCTAATGATAACCATCAAAACACCCGCCATTTGATATAAATAAGTAAATAAATGATTCAGTGCTGATTGACATACTAAGGTACTTATAAAATTGGTTTGTTAAAAAATAATCTTAGAGTTACCTCTTCGGTAAATCCCGGCTCCAAATCCTTCCAACTAACGTGTCGTTTCTTAGGCGACTTTTGGCGTCTTATTGGTTTGGCCAAACCCTTGGTTCGGAGCACATTTTTAATCTCGGTATTACTCACAGCCTTCGATTGTTGGCAGTTCATATGGCGTTGCTGAAGTGGGGTTGAAGCTCCAAGAGAGATATATGTCACGACTGTTCGAGCGTCTTCTTCCATCTCACTATCTTGAAGTCTTCTAAACTGGAAGGATGCGGAAGTACCGAGCATGAGTCGACGCAGATGATTCAGAAGACTATAATTTCCCAAATCACTGTTGCTGTTTTTTTCTGCGTCATGAAGAAGGAGAGGGGTTGAATCATTGAAGGAGAAGTTGGACAAAGTTGAGACATTTGTTGGTGAGAGGGTAGGGGAGTCACTTAAAGATATTGTCTCGGGTACCTTGGTGCAAAGGGTCGATAACATCGAGAAGATTTCTACAATCACAAAGAAAACAGCCGAGTCAATATGATCGACTTCAATTATATCATTATAATATTTATTAAATTATATTGATTCTAAAATTTTTGTCAGAAACAGGGGCCTTTAAACTGCCGAAAGGTAGTTTGACTCTATTGCTAATTACGCCAACAGGCGCTAACTCATAGAAATTCGATTCCACAAATACATGGTATGGAAAGAACCAAATTGCAGAGAGGTGACATTATTTTACTTAAATAAAAGTGATATCTCCAGTTGATTTTTTGAACAAACTCAACCACTATGGACAATTTAGTTGGCAGAAAGCGTTGAATTAAGAAATTTAATGATTCTTTATTCAATAAAAATTCATTCAAACTACAATCACTGCTAGTCGGGTAAGTAAGAATTCATAAGCTAAAGCTTTTATAAGACTCAAAGGTATGATCTTACGATTTTCATTCAAATGAAATGAAGAAATCTAATGAAATGTTTCGACGAAGTAACAAAGAAACGCAGACTCAAGAACATACAAATGAAATAAAGAAAACGGGATGTTTTTGAAGGATCACTATTTTCTACGAATCATTTCAATTCCTAATTATTTCTATGTTCTGGTAATTGTCTACACTGGTCGGAATCACTGCATTTCAACATGTCAATGATCGATTTTAACCCCCACCCCCCCCCTCTCCCAAACCTCAGGCACTAGTTTGAAGACATGTGATGGAAGCGCTCCTTTCTCACGCTTTCTCTTCGTTCTCACTTCTCCTTCTCCCGATCTACATTCCCCCC